TACACAGTAAATGTGCTGCCAGGCTGACTCTTCAGCACAACACTTGGTGGTGTGATGGATAGCACGTCGCGTCGACACATGAAGGGGAGTGGTTCGATTCCTTTCCAGTCCACAATCCTTTTTGAAAAGGGGCTGCTTCGTACAAGACAAACTCTGCGATATCAAAATGTCTTCTGCATGCTTGGAGACAATCTCCGGATAATGAAGTCTCCTACAGATTGATAGGCTTTTATCAAAATGTTTAAATCACTTCGTATTTCTACCTTTTCGTCGAAGGAACCAAAAAATATTAACAGCACAATTTTTCCAAACTCAGTAATCACTGAGCTGAGTGGTACAAGCACTGTAAAAGTCCCGAGAGGTTGGTGAAGGAATGAGTCGATAAGACAAAAAAAAAAAAAAGCATAATCCGATACAAACCTGAATCGGTAACAAAATCATCCCATCCACTCGATGAGATGTCACACTCCCAACTACTCGACACTGTGTTCTGGTTCACAGCAAATTTATCTGAATTTCCATCAGTACCTAATTTATTCGCTGCCAAATTCGGTTCCTGTTTAATACCCAATGCATAATCCAAATCGTCTTCATCTGCAATAACGAAAATGTTTTCGAAAAAATGCATTTACACACAGCACAGATGACAAGTAAAAATGAAGACATGCAGAAGGATACTGCCTATGGAAAAAAAGAGTGTATCCTGCCATCCAAGACAACAGGGTTTTTAAAGGTTTTGCCATGAATTCTGAAAAAGAAAACGAACCTGCAGGCTTTTTGATGGCGTTTTTCAATTTCAAGCCGCCTTTTTTTGGCACTGATTTTTTCGAATCAACCAGCGATGCAACGGATGATTTTTTAGTTTCTGTTGCCGTGATCTAAAAAAAAAAAACCAACGCTTAAAAATCTAATTTGTGTTATCCTTCTCCCTTTTCCCAGCCAATTCTTCCAGGAAAAAGAAAATAGAAAAATATCAAAATAAAAGGCCGCAAATTCATTTCCAAGCTACCAGCGGGAGTTCCAGTACACCGAAATAATAGATTAGGAGAAAAGGGAATCGTTCTAAGTGGTGTATGCAAAAAGACATGTTTGGATACAGCCTATGTTTCATCCCTTAACTGTAAACACAAATCGAGCGTAACATGCGGGTAAGGAGTGGGAATCATCAGTACAACCCCTTAACCACCACAAACTTGATGAGCGCGCAACGAATTGCATAAGACTACAGTAAAGAAGAGATGAGAGAAAACAAGAAAAAAAAAGATGTGAAGAGATAGGAGAAAAAGGTGGTGAAAGCTGAACATCGACAGTCCTAACAATTCAGGCAAAAATTACAGACTGTTAAGAACGAAATGCTTACTCCTTCCCATTCGTCATCCCATCCATCAGTGGTTTTTTTGGCCTTTGGCACAGTGTCATCGGCATCTTCCCATTTCTCATCACTTTCAGCAGACAGTGTACTGTCATCCAGGGAGCCCCAGCCATCATCCCCGTGTTTCTTCGATGCCGATTCGTGCGATTTCGGTCTTGCCTCTGGTGCTGATTCATTTTCAGATGTTTGCTCCTTATTTTCTGTCACGGCTGGATTTTGCGTCGGTGTAGGACTTTTATAAAATCTACCCGAAATCGATTGTACCGCCCAAGCTGCCCATCTTGGCACCTAAAATTGAGCTAGATGCTGACGGCTGTATTAATTGTGACATAAATCTATGTAAAAATACAAAATTAAATTAAAAATTACCATGAAAAGTTGTGTTTCGGCCCATCAATTTATACAAATTCCTCTTCAGCACCACACTCAAGAACAAAAATGATAACCTTATCACTACTTAGCAAGCCACTCTTTCCACCAGCATTTACTTGTGCCTCAAGTTCTGGTATCGATTCGGGATTTTCGCTTGCCTTCTCCAGCTTTTCAATGAAACCATGCAATGCCGCAAAACTCTGCTTCCTAACCTGAAAAGCACATATTAAAAATTTGGATAAAACTGTTCGGAGAGATGCTAAGGCCTAAATATCCATAGTCTTTGAAACTCTAGTCGTAGTGTTGAGCTAAGACGTATATGACTTAGTGGACCGAAAAGTTTTCCCTCATTCTTCTGTTTTCTATCTTATATACCTTTCTCACTTTGACAATCAAGATCAGCCTGGACGCTACAATCGGCTTACTCCTCTCCCTCTCAATTTGCAAATTTTAGAAAATAAATGAAAAATCAAAAAAAGTACGCCAAAAAATCTCACATACCATACTGTCGGGATCAATTGTCATCGGTGATAGGGCAGGTAAAATACGATTGGCAATTTCCACTAATGAATAGTACTGCTGTGTGGCGATAAGTCCTACAACTGCTGCAATCCGGGCCGGTGAGAAAGGATCTTTGAAAGCGCGGGTGAATGCGTTGATCAGAATCCTCTGACGTTGAGAGGGATCAATATAACATGCAATTTTCCCGAGGCAAATCGTGGCATTAGTTCGGATTCCGGGCTGTTCATCGCCACCTGAAACAGAAAACAATGAATGCTATGAGCCTCAACACCGTCCTCGAATTCCACTCATCGAACACAGACAAAAAGGAAACGACAAATTTTCTGGTATAATTCAGCTATAGGCAAATTTTTTAAAAAAAATTTGATTTAGCTCAAGCAGAGAGGCAACGCAGCGAAAAATAATAATAATAATAATAATAATAATAATAATAATAATAATAATAATAATAATAA